ACCACAGCCTGATCCCAGAACCCCTGGCAGATGGGCCTCCAGCTTGCCATCCCCGGGAGGTAGGGGAGCTCCCTCCTTTCCCCCCAGGCAGCCCAGCATGTCCCCCTCCCCGTGGCTTCCTCCCGAAGGGTCCACACTTTGCCTTCTGAGTACGGTGGGAGAGGGCTGCTCCCCTCCCTCCTCCCAGGACAGCCAGCCAAGAGGTGCACCAACAGCTTTCCCCAGCCCCGCCCTCCCAGCGTGCAGGAGGAGAAGCCAGGGTTTGTACCCTTTTTAAAGCACGGAGTCTTTGTCTTCAAAGAGCACAACTGGCCATTTCAACCTGGGGTCCATGGTGACAAGTGCAGCTCAATAGAATGAGTTTCTGCTGTTTGAGAAGGTTCCATGGGCTTCACCAGACTGCTGAAGAAGTCCATGGCATTTGAAGAAAACAAACAAACAAACAAACAAACAAACAAAAAGTTAGGAAGTCTGTTCCAGAATCCAGACAAGGCCACTTTTAGCCATGAAGGTGCTGTGTGGAGAGATCATTCTGGCCTGGGTGCGTCTCCCACCCCTGGAGAAGCCCCCACCCCCCATCCCAACCTTTGAAGAAACTACTTAAGGAAAGATGGATAAGATCGAGACCCACTCCCAAGTCTGACCTTCCCATCGTGTTTTTTCTGTGCTCTGAGGTGACTCTACCACCAGACTCCCAGACTCCTGGATCTGAGCAGACACTGATGGCACTACTGAGGGCTAAGCACGTTCGAGAGGGGCCGGCAAAGAGGGACTGAACCCAATCCCGGCTTCCAGAAGTTCCCACCAGGTAAGGTAGGCGCACTGCAGCCACGCCCCTGCTGCCTGCCCTTCCCTAGCACACCAAAGGCTTCCTACTTGCTCAGCTCTGCCAATGCTGCTCCCTGAGCCTGAGTGCCTGTCCCATGCCCTTCTAGTAGCTAACACTCCCTCAGCCTTCCAGTGCCTGGTGGGACTACCCACCTTAGGCGGAGTGCCCTCTTCCCATGGAGAGACCCAGCTGAGTGTGAGTCTCCAAGAAGGACCACCTTGGCCTTGGATGCTCTTGTAGCTGTGGTGCATGGATATAAAAGAGAATGCCAGGGAGGGCAGCCCTGACCTCTGGCTGGCCCACAAGGACCATGCTGACTCTCAGGCTGGGTCAAGAATCAGCATTTGGGCGCGTCCTCCTGAGCTGGCTGCCCCCAAGCAGGAGGCCCGTGGGACAGGTTTCCTCCCAAGGGCCCCCACTGCCTTGCTAAGGCAGTCATTCTGAAGCAACGCCCCTCCAGAGCTGGCAGACAATGACAACCCCTGATTGCCCAAGCCGGTAGATGGCTATGTGACACTCTCCATTATGATGAGCCGTTCATTCATTCAGCAGAAATGTATTGAGTGCCCATTACTTGCCAGGTGTTATTTGGATGGTGGAAACAAAGGCAAAAATCCCTGTGCTCAAAGAGCTTACATTCTCTTGGGAAGACAAACAACATAGAAAATAAATAAGTAAAAAGTATAATCCGATATTGCTGAGTGTGTTAAGAGCCATAGGTAACACTAAGTCAGAAAGAACAGGGTGTTCCTCCCAGAGAAGGTAGCTTTTTGTTCTGTTTCGTTTACTTAAGTAATCTCTACACCCAAGGTGGAGCTCGAACTCACAACCCTAGGACCAAGAGTCATATGATCTTCCGGCTGAGCCAGCCAGGCGCCCCAGAGAAGGTAACGTTTGAATACAGACCTGAAGGGGATGACAGAGGGAGCCATGAGGAGATCCGGGGGAAGAGCATTCCGGCAAAGGACACAGCGCACGCAAAGGCATTCCTGAGGCAGGAATGTGGCGGGTACATTTGGGGAACCAGGTGGGTAGTGTGAGATTGAGCACGTGGCACCCTGAGGCTGCTGTGATGACCTCGGCTTAACACCACGTTGAGACGGGCCACGGTGAAGTTTCTGAGCAGACGAGTGACGTGTTGTGACTTGAATGTTAACAGGATCACTGTGTCGCAGCATAGGGAATAGACAGCTCGGGAGAGGGGACGGATGGAGGTGCTCAGCCATGACAGTGCAGGTGGAGGGAGGTGGTTGAGTTTGGGGTGTGTTCTTGAAAGGGAAAGACTACGTGCCAGGCGTTGCTTCTGGTCCTGGCGTTATCTTCCGTCATCCTCGCGACCACCCTGTGAAGCAGGTCCTTGATCCCCATTGTAGAAAAGGACAGAAAAGGAAACTGAGGTTCAGAAAGGTCACACAGCCAGTGAGTCAACCCAGGCTTCTCCAAGCCTGAAGCCCGAGTTCTTCACACTCTGCTCCGGCGCCTGCCTGGGCAGGATTCCAACAAGGAGGATATCTAGCCACAGACTCCCAGAAATGGGGAACTAAGTCAGGACACTTACCCGCTGAGAAATGTCCCTAAAATGCCATCTTAACCATGCTTTCTCTTTCCATTAAAGCTCAAATGATACTTATTGGTCTTAAGTGCTTTTATTTTCACTTACACAGTTTCCAACTTTTAATCAATCTTTTTTATTTTAAATTCCATCCAAAACCATCAGTGAAGGGAGAAGACTGTAAGGGGAGGGGAGCCATCGGATGATTGCAAGATATGAGCTGAGGCACTGGAATCATCCATCACGCTCGTGTTCCAGCACGGCTGTGGGCCAGGCCGTGGGCCAGGGAGCCTGGGGCAGATGGGGAAGGCGGCCCCAGTCCCTGGGGGAGCAGCCCGCACAGGAGGGGAACCGTATCCAGGAGAGGCTGCCTGGGAATGACCCAAGGAACTGAGCAGGGAGGTCCAACCGGGGAAGGCTAGAATCCAAACACAGCCAGGAGGCGAGGAGTCCCAAGTCCAATCCCAGAAAAGGTCCAGCGATGCCAGAGGGACCGTCGACAGGCAAACAGTTGAGCTGGAGCACTCATGCTCCAAAGCCCAAGCCGGCAGATCTTCCGGCAGGTGGTGGGGCCGCCCTTTTGCAGGTGGGAAGTCCGGGAGGGCTGCCGCAAAGGGAAGGAGAAAAAGTCATGAGTTGTCACTCTCACTGCTGCTGGGGCCGATGATTAATATGCAGCGGGGGGGGGGGAGGGGGGCGGGCAACAACTTCCATTTTAAAAAGCCCGACGCCTGTGTGGCTCTGGGGCTGAGCCCACATGGGAGATGGACATAGGGAGCCCCTCTCTAGAGGCCGAAGTGGGCTTCTAAGACTCATCTGTCACCTCCACAGCAGCCTGGGCCAGCCAGGTCCCTTCAAGTGAATTGCAAGGAAAGGAAGGAGGAGAGGAGAGAAAAATGGAGAGGACAAAAGGGAGCTATGGCAGTCACAGAGAAGAGTCCATCCTGCTCACCTTGATACAGCCATGCCTGCATTCAGAAGTAGATACCAACACCCTCCTAGGGAGACGTGCACACCCAGAAATGGACCAGCACATGGGCACAGCCACAGAGGCACTCCAGAGTGCAGGTACAGGGCGGGTTTACAGACACTGACACAGAGAGGCACAGGGCACTAGACAGGACACACACGCTGAACAGCGATGCCCATGGATACTGACAGAGGTGGGCACGCGTGCACCAATACGGACGCACCAGTGTGCACACGCCCGTACGGATACTGAAAGATACATACAAATGGACACCCACACATTCGGGTAGAAACGTACAGACAGACACACACGGATGCTGACGTGTACATGCAAGAAGCTCACCTGGACACAGAGGTGCAGGCCAGGCACGCACACACAGGTACACGCGGACACACGGACACACCTTGATGCACAGATGTGCACAACTACATAGATCACGCCTATTCTTACACTGCTAGGTGATGCATCTATGCCCATTTATAAGAACACACGCGGGGCGCCTGGGTGGCTCAGTCGGTGGAGCAGCTGACTTCAGCTCAGGTCACGATCTCGCAGTTCATGAGTTCGAGCCCCACGCTCAGAGCCTGGATCCTGCTTCGGATTCTGTGTCTCCCTCTCTCTCTGCCCCTTCCCACTCACGCTCTGTCTCTGTCTCTCTCTCCCTCTTTCTCTCTCAAAAATAAATACACACTAAAAGATTTATAAGAACACACGTTCGCAGATGTATCCCGAGATGCATGCACACGCACAAAGGCACGTTCAAGGCCGTGCTCGGGCACTGCCAACAGCCAGGACACGCACACAGCTGGGCTCTGTGCGGCACTCAGGCCCCGGCTCTCAGCACCCCCAAGCCGGCCCCCTTCAAGCCAGGTGCTCTCCTGACCTTCTCCTGCCAGCCGCCCAGCTCTGGCTGGCTCCCTGGTCCTCGGGCCCTCCCACCATCTCTCGTCCGCCCACTGGCCCTGGGCCAGGCCCTGGGCTCCAGGATGGCAATTGCCCCATTCTCCCAGGTGCCGACTCAGCCAAACTTCACACCCAGAAGTGGAGCCAGGCCAGCGGGGCTTGTTGCAGCCTGCTTGGGGCATCAGCGCGGGGGAGGCAGGAGGGAGCCAAGATCCTGTGGTGGCGGAGAGAAGAGCAGCCCCAGCCGCCCGTGCGGGCCTGCCTGGTAAGGCTGCTGGCTTCCTCTTCTCCGAGTCATCCACCCTCCACAGGCCTTGGGCTCCCCGCCTCTGGAATGGGACAGCACGCCCGTCCCACTGAAGTGTCAATTAAGTGTCCACATCACCTCCCGGATGAAAGAAAGCGTTTGCCTCCTCGCAATAGCTCTGAGACCCAGGCTGTATTGTGCCTGGGTTAGACCAGGTAGCGGAGCTCCGGAAGGGGACGTCACTTACTCAAGGGAGCAGACAGGACCGGAACCCGGGTGCCTGCTCCGAACTCCACAGCTTTCCTGGGCGGTAAATATGTAGCACGTGACTGCCAGAGCCCAATGACTTGCCCGTGGCAGACATCATTAATCGATCACAGTCTCTCTCCTGGGGAATCCAGACTTGGCCTCGACATCCTTCTCAACGCACCGCTCCAGGCAGACAATCGTAATTGGCCAGAGTTGGCACCCAGGATGAAACTCACTGCCACGCTGTCGCTACATCTAATTCATCTAATTCAGAGGGTGGATGTGACGATTACATGAAATCAAGGGCAGAATACTTTGGAAGAACACAAGTGATGCGCCTATCAGAGGCATTTTAGTACAGTTTCCAGAGGCTATTGCCATCCAAGTCCCCCCAAAGTCTCACGACACTGGGGTGGAGGTTTAGGGGCAAGACAGCCACTGCCGTTGCTCTGTTTCACAGAGGGAGACACCGAGGTCCCGGTGAGTGTGTCCAGGGTCACACAGCTAACACCCAGAGTGGGACTGTGATTCAAGCAACAACCCCTGTTTCAGTGCTCTTTGACCGTCCATGGCCCCAGCCAGACGGGACAGGCCAGAGTGTGTGGGCCTGGGGGAGCCAGGGATGGAGGGGGGCAGGAGAGGCCAGTCTCCTCCCAGCAGAAAGGAATCGACCCTACAACTAATTGGTTCAGAGTGCTTCTTTTGACCCTAATTAGCTATTTGTCATGTCTCCATTTGCATACCAGAAAAGATGCAAATTTGCATATTTGTAAATGAGGCTGAGCCTGGATGTGGGTTCTGGAAGAGCTTGGCGGTTGCTGGCAGGCAGGGAGGCAGCTGGCTCTTGCCACTGAAGCATGGGCCGTGGAACGAGGAGATTTGGAAGACAGCTCCTTGGCTTGGGGCTGCAAGGTGCTCTCAGAGGAGGTCAGACAAGATGGCCCGCTTCGCTCCCTCCCTCGGGGCTAAGTGGATGGGCAGGGAGAATGGGTGAGCCTAACGCTATTTTGATTAGATGAAACAAGGAGGGGGGAATATAAAGTAATTTCAGGACGCTCTGTGCTGGGAAGCCTTCTGTTCCCGTCCTTGGATAGAATCTGTAACACTTGCAAAGTGGGGGGGGGGGGGGCCGCCCACCTCCCTAGACGGCGAGGTTTGGGAGAGAATGGAGGTCAGGGGGAATCATTCTCTCTCTCTCTCTCTCTTTCTCTCTCTCTCTCCTCCAGACTCTCATGCACACATACACTTGTACACACATCTTACAGTTCACTAGCACATGCACACATACACACTACACAGACGAGCCTCTGCCCCCCCCCCCCCCCCCCGCCAGGAGCACCTTGACACACAACACCCCAGACCCACAACGATACATACGCAACTCTAACTGGAGAGGCGCATTCGCACATGCAGACATTCCCAGACTTCCCGCCACATACACATTCACGCCCTTACACATACAGACACACACTCAAACACTCGAACATAGATGTAGGCATACAGACTCACTTAAGCTGTGCGTAAATATTTACATACACACACACACACACACAAGACATACACGAGAACATCCTTGCTAAGACCAAATTCCCTGGCAAATTCTGGAAATTCTGAGCCCTTTGCCAGAGTTTCTGGTGCCTCTATGGGAAGAGACAAAAGAAAGTAGGTAGCCACCCTTCCCAGGGAAGGAGCAGGTGTATCCCCAGAGAACGGGGACCCCAAGTAGGGACTGGTTCTTCCTCTAGGAAAGAAATGACTAGCAAATGCCCCAGTGCCTTCTGGGGTTTTGTCTAGGGCTTGGAGCAGGGTCTGAGTGGGCCTTGACAAGCGGGAGAGCACAGTAGGGAGACCAAGGGAGCGTTCATCTATCGCTGGGGTCTGCCATGCACTGGGCAGGAAGGCACCAGTGTCTCAGACGTCCACGTTGACCTCGGCAGCCAGCGCGGAACGAGGTGGCACGGAGCTGCCGCACCTTCGGGCATGCAGGCACCGAGATGCCAAGTTCAAAGGGAGCCCCGGATCCATAAGGCTTCCCAGGCTGTGGGGCCTGGGGGCTGGACACTGGGACCAGGAAGCCCAGGGTCAGGGACCAAATGCTTCCACTGTTCCCATCCCCGGCATCTCCTCCCCAGTGCCTGCACCCCAAAAGGCAAGCTAAATAGCTCCGTATTTGTAAATTAAATATAGCTGTACTCCAGCTTTCCAAAGAGCTGGGAAGGAGAGAAGGAGAAAGAAAAAGAGAGAGAGGAAGAGAAGAAAAGCTGCCGCCCTCAGGAAAGTCTGGCTGGTACAGATTGCCTGAGTCATGAATATTCATCTGGCGAATGAGGAGAGCGAGAGTCTGCATAACAGCTCCACCCACCCAACTGAAAGAAATGTCACCGCCTTTGCCAATAAAGTGCCAAAGGAAGCCGGTGGAGGCTGCCAGCCAGACGGTGCCAAACTGCTGACTTCCACTCCCAGGCGTGGAGAAAGCACATTGTTTCCGGCCCAAGGAGCCGCCACTCGGGGCTGGGGGAGCAGAGCTGGCGGCTCAGAGAGAACCAGGAAGAAAAGTTACACCCGCCACCCACGGGAAGCCTGGCGGGCAGCGCGCCTGGGCCACAGCCTTCCCCAGTGTCCCTCCAAAGAGGGGATCGATCTGACCGTTCAAGGGTGTCCTCTCTGGCCGACCACCGAGGGCCCAGCTCCCAGCTGAGAGAGCTCCAGGCTTCGCACATCCTTGAAGGTGTCTCCCAGATGGTCTTCACGAATCCTGGATGGTTACTAGAGACCAGAGGCTGGGGGGAGGGGGCAAAACAGGTGTTACTTTGGGACCCAGAAGTCCACAGTCGCCGTGGCCCCGTTTTGCCGAAGGGTACCCCCCAAATGCGGGCAACTTCCCTCTCTGGGTCAATCCTATTGCCTCTTCTTCCAGGAGATTTTCTCTAACCACTTTCTCTAAGACAGAGTCTGGTTCTCGGTCCCAGGCACCCACCTTCCCGGGCCTGAAAGCTTGCGTTGATCCGGTTTTGTTCCCGCCTGTGGCTGTTTCCTACCCCCGGGCTGTGGGCTCCGGGGGCAGGGACTGTGGCCTCAGCGTGCCAGCCCAGCACAAGATTCCGAGAAGGCATCTTGAGTAGTTTGTTACACAGGGGCGTCTACGCCCGTCCATTCCTGTCCCCATGCCTGTACCTGGCCCTGGGTCCTTCCTGTTGCCCTGCACGTGCTGGTCAGGTCCCCAGGAGGTCAGGCATCCTGTCCCAGAAGCTCAGTGGGATCGGGACAGGCACTGAGTGGCCAGCCTCCCGTCCCCAGGCCCCTGCTCCCCATGAAGAGAGGTGAGAGCTGTCAGCGACCCTCAGCACCCCATCCTCGTGGTGGCACCCGTCCCGTGGTGTCACAAACCAGCCCGCCTGCCCGCCGGTCTACCACAGCTGGCTCCCTCCAGTAATTACCTAAATGAATGGAATAAGCAGAACTGGAGAGAGGATGTTCTCTTAGTGCAGAGAAGCAATTAGGGCTGTGGGCGTCTCCAGCTGCTGCTCCTGTTATGTAAAGTTTGGGATGTGTATTTGGGACTTAATGAGGATATTTATGTGTTCACATCTTACCTTCACAGACTGCTCATTTCAAGTATCCCAAGTACTCTTGGGCCGAGTACGAAGCAGTACAAGCCAAGCGACAGGCTCTAAGGGAGGAGTACCACCTCTCAGTAGCCAAAGAGACCCTCTCTCAGGGTTCATGGACCCCCAGAAATCAAGGGTGACACCCACCTGGAGCCTGGCTCTGCTCAAGGCCTCCGGGGACGGAAAGTCCTTTACTGCCTGGGTGGCTCAGTCAGTTAAACGTCCGACGTCGGCTCAGGTCGTGATCTCGCGATTTGTGAGTTCAAGCCCCCACGTCGGGCTCCGTGCTGACAGCTCGGAGCCTGGAGCCCGCTTCGGATTCTGTGTCTCCCTCTCCCTGTGCTCCTCCCCTGCTCGCGCTCTGTCTCTCTCTCTTTCTAAAAAATAAGTAAGCATTAAAAAATGTTTTTAATTTAAAAAAATAAAACAAAATATCAGCAATTGTTGCAAAGTTCTTCCTTGAACTGAGCCAAAGTCTGCTTCTTTGCAACATCCCTGAATTGGCCCAAACATTGCCCGTGGCACCACACAGGACATGTCACTGCATCTGTCCGAGGTCAGCCACTAACCTTGCAGAAGGTAAATTTCAATTTTGCAATTGAAAAAGTTTCTGTGGTCAAATAAGTTTGGAAAACTTCTGCATCCGTTTCTTGGCTGCAGGACTTCTCTGAGCCTTTACTGTGCTCACAGGCACCCAGCTGAGGGTGCTGCATTTCATGAAATGTATTTGCTCACAGAAGCCTTTTTTTTTTTTTTTTTTTTTTTGGAACAACCTCAAGAAACCAGGGCTCTAAAAGCACATTTTAGGAAACACCGCTTCAGAATGTTAAAAGCAAACACTTAATTCCTTGGCCTGAGCTCCTTCAACATTTCTCCTCCACTGGGCGTGATGCCTGGGCCTCTCCCCATTCTGGACCTTTGCTGTCAGTGAGCTCTGCCATATGCCTGTGTTCCTCCACTGCTCCAGACAAGCTCTGGTCAGGGATGGTCCAGAAGAGCCTTTCCCTCCAGTATCCAGGACCCCATGTTCTCACTGATGCAATCAAAACACCATTGGGAGGATGGCAGCTGAACCCCACTGAGTGTCTTTCCTGAAAGTTCCTCCAGCAAGCCACGACTGAATCTCAGTTCCTTATTCTGCTCTCAGACCCTGCAGTTGGAGCCCACAGGCAGACTCCCCTTAGGCCAGGTGTCCAAACAATGAGTCCCTGCTTTGCCTTCCCTGGATGGCAAAATGGTGAGCCATGATGAGCCCCCAATATCTGTGTACCAGCTAGTAATTTACACGCAGCCGGGCTTTTTCACAGCATCACACAAAGCATGCATCTAGTCACCGCACACTCACAGACAGAGCACTCTAATCACCCTGGGCTCCAGACCCAGAAGTCTTCTGGGGCTAAAGCCACAGCCCACACCTGCACTGGGGGCCTCTGGCTCCACCAGGCCTCTCCCCTGCACCTTCAATCACGGCCTCCATGCCTGCCTTCCCATCATCCTTCAAGTATGTGTTCAAGCCCAGGCATGGAAAAGAGGCTCCTCTCACCGGCCAAGTCCAATAGATTCTGGTGGCTCCCTGGTCTGGCTGTTGGGAAAAAGGTGTTGAAGCTTCCCCAGGTTGCGCAGAATGTCTAGAGATGCCTGCCAGTGTTGGGGAGTGGGCAGGGTGGTGCCCATGCCAGTTAATGCCACCCCCCCAAGCAAGGCTCAGTCCCTTTCCCTCAAAACTACTCCCCCAAGCTACAACCCTCCTTTCTCCCTTAACAAACACCCAACTCCCACACACACCCACACATGGCCCCATTCCCCCACCCAAACCGCTCCCTCCAAGGTCACCAACAGACTCCTATTTGTCAAGTCCCGTACCCTCTCCCTGGTGTCCGTGCCTTTGCAGCATTAGATATGGTTGACCTTTCTCTGGAAATTCACCCCCGCCCTATGGAATTCCAAGACAAGCTATGCACCCCCCGCCCCCCGTGGTTCCTTGCCTTTCTGACCATTAATGCAGTTTCTTCCATCACATCAATGTGGCCATGTTCCAGGGCCCGATTTCCAGCCTTCTCTTGCTCCTACACCCCCTCCTTCCGAGATCTCATCCACAGCTTGGTCCTTGGGAAAAGCCCTCTGTGCCCCTCAAGTGCGCCCCTAGGATCAGCCTCCTAAGAGCCGTCCTGCTGCCTACAGGCCACAGCAACAAGCCAAAGCTCCGAAATCCCAGCACTTCCTCTCTCCTCCAGAATCAGCTCCCACTCCAGGTTCTCCACGATGCATAATCCTCCCAGGCTCAAGGATCAAATTCTTGGCAGCATCTTGACTCTTTATCTGCATCCATTAAATCACGATGTGCCGAGTCCTCTTATTTAATATTTATCTAATTTCCAAAATAAAAATAGCTTTATTATTTATTCTGATTGAAGAACATGATATATCCTCAGTATAAAAAAAAAATTTAAAAAAATCAAACCAATACTTAAAAGTAGGAAAAAGAAAGTAAAAATCACTCAAAATCCTACCACCCAGATATAACCACTCCAGCATTTTGGTGAACAGCCTTCCAGACATATCTCTATGCATATATACACATAGAGATCTATGTATATAATTTATAGACGAGGGATTGTATTATACATACTGTTCTCACTGACACCTGCTTTTCTCTCTCAACAATATGTCATAGACATCTTTCTATGTCAATAAATAGAGCTCTACAAAATTATTTTAATTACTTCATAGTATTCCATTGTATGTATGTATCATACTTTATTTAGCTGGGTCTCTATTGATCCTTTAGAACGTTGTCAAGATTTTACTCTCATAAACAATATTGTGGTAAATATCCATGTACATATCTCTTTGCTTATTCTTTGTAATTATCTCCTTAGGATAAAATCGTACAAAGGAAATTGCTGCAAGAGTACACTATTTCCAATTTTGCCACTCTGTCCTTCTGAAAACGTACAATGTACTTCCCATCAACAGTGTCCCAGCATATTTTCCCACACCCTCACTAGCCCCAGGTTTTAATGTTTGGTCAAATCAACAGATGGCAAAAGACATTCATTTTTAGTGGCATTGTTTAAATTATTAATGAAAGTAAATGAGTATCTTTTCTTCTTTTTTTGTGATTTGTAATTATTTTCTTTGTGAATTGCCTGTTCGTGTCTTTTGCCCATTTTTCTAATGAGATATTTATCTTTTTCTTAATGAATGGTTTAAGAGTTCTTTGCACATTTGAGAATCAGATTAAAGAATTATCTATCATATACACTTTCCCTTTTCTCCTTTACTATTTTTTTAATGTTTTTATTTATTTTTGAGACAGAGAGGGACAGAGCATGAGCAGGGGAGGGGCAGAGAGAGAGGGAGACACAGAATCTGAAGCAGGCTCCAGGCTCCAAGCTGTCAGCACAGAGCCTGACACGGGGCTCAAACTCATAGACTGTGAGATCATGACCTGAGCGGAAGTCGGACGCTCAACCGACTGAGCCACCCAGGCGCCCCTCTCCTTTACTATTAATGGTCTTAAACTTTCCATCTTCATATATTCAAATGTATCAATCTTTTCTTTTATGATTCCTGGATATCCCATCATGCTTAGAAGGAACATCACCACGTTAAGATGACCAAAATAGTCATTCATATTTATTCATTCGTATTCATGAAGACTCTGTAGTCTTCATGCCTTGGTCTTATTGGAGAAAGACAGAAAACCAGCTTGTGTTGTAATGGCTGGCCCATGCCAACACCATTTATAAACCAGCCCATATTTTCCCAACTCAACAGAAATGCCATTTTATCGTATACAAAATTCCCTTAAATACTTGGATCCATTTCCAGACCCTCTATTCTATCCTGGTGATCTGCTATTCTTACATAAGAATTTTAATTATTGTCCCTTTATAAAACATTTTAATATCTGAGAGGGTAAGTATTCATCATTTTTCTTTTTCAGAATTTCCCTTAGCTACTCTATTTTTTTTTAACTCCTCCAGATTAGCTTTATAATTATTTTTGTCAAATTTTTTAAAAATCCTGTTGCAGTATTAATTGGAGTATCTTCATTTTTGTACACTCCCTTAAGGAGCACGAACAAACTTAAAGCATTAAATCTTTTCACCCAAGAACTAGGGACATGCCATATTTATCCGAGTCTCTTTTCTATCAGGCAAGTTTTCTGGTTTTCTTCCTGTAAATCCCACATGTTTCTAATAAAGTTTATTTCCAGGCATTTTGTGTTACTATTTTCTTCTTGACAGTGCAAATGAGGCCTTTTACTTTACCTTCTAGGTAGTCATTTTATAAACAGAAAAGCTATTTGTTTTTATATGTTGTTTTGTTACTGGCCATTTTACCAAACTTTACTTTTTCCAGTTGTTTTCATGAAACTGTCTTGAATTTTTACAGATAAATAATAATCATATCTGCTAGATATGATTATTGGCTCTCCTTTTCTAATATGTATCTCTTTTTATTTCTTGTCTAATTACAATGCCTAGCACCTTGGGAAAAGTGGGTTTTTTTTTTTTAATTTTATTTATTTTGAGAGAGAGCACAAGCAGGGAAAGAGGAGAGAGAGTGGGGGAGAAAGAATTCCAAGCAGGCTCTGTGCTGTCAGTGTAGAGCCTGATGAGGGGCTCAAACTCATGAATCCCAAGATCATGACTTGAGCTGAAATCAGACGCTTAACCAACTGGCCACCCGGGCACCCCTAGGAAAAGTGGGTTTTTAAATTTTTTTTATTAAGAAAAAAATGTTTTAATGTTTATTTATTTTTGAGAGAGAGAGTGCGAGCAAGAGAGGGGTGAGAGAGAGGAAGACACAGAATCTGAAGCAGGCTCCAGGCTCTGAGCTGTCAGCACAGAGCCTGACTTGGGGCTCCAACCCACAAGTGGGAAGATCATGACCTGAGCCAAAGTCAGATGCCCACCCGACTCAGCCACTCAGGTGCCGCAAAAGTGATTTTTAAAATACTGATAACAACAGCTGCCCTGGTCTAGTTTCTGACTTTAATGAGAACATATCTAGGGGGTCACCAGCCTAATGTCTCTCATGCATCCCTTCCTGTGACCACTATCCTGGTTTGGCTTGTATTCATTTGTCACCTGTGTCATCACAAATGTGAATAAGGTACAGGCTTTGAAGTCAGATGACCTGTATTCGGGTCCTGATTGTCATTTAGTAACTATACGGTCTTGTCAAGTTATTGAAGATTATTGAAACAAAAAGAAAAAGAAAGAAAAGAGAGAGAGAGAGAGAGAAAGAAAGGAAGAAAGAAAGAAAGAAAGAAAGAGAAGAGAAAAGAAAAGAAAAAAGGAAAGGAAGGGAAAGGAAAAGAAAAGAAAAAAGAAAAAAAAAGAAAAGAAGAGAAAAGAAAAGAGGAGTTATTATAAGAACTAAGTGAGATAATCCACACACTGGGTGCAGTATCAGTAAATGATCATGTTCTCAGGTCTTAGCCCCCAACTTCTCCTTCCAGTCCCACCTATATCCTACTCTTAGGTTGACCTTCTCAAATCCCACTCAGCTCACAGCACCCTACCATGCCCTCACTAGCTCACAAGTCTTCAAATATCCCCCACTGCCTACAGAATGAAGGTCCAGATTCTTATACTTGTGTCTGAGATCTTCCATTATTCAACTCCAAACTTTCTTCCAGCCTTATTACCTGTGGCCTCCTGCCACCCCTGCTCATCACACACCCCTCCCAACCCTTTCCTCCAGCCTAGATGTTCTCCTCACTAATGGCTGCCTGATACCAAGTAGGTCCTCACTCTCCACTCAGATCCCTGTATCAGATTTTAGCTCTAAATAATGCAAAATTAAAATCTAAGTGGGCTTTTAAAAGTAAATTCATCAGCTCACTTAATAGAAAGTCCAGATGCAACAGGCTTCAGGCACAGTTTGATCAGGGCTGGGACAGAATTCTTCTGTGATGTTCCAGGCTCTTCCCACATCCATATGTTTACAGTAATCTCCGGTTGTGTTCCCAGTCACCAGATGCCTGCCAGGAATTAGATCCACAAGCTACCTCATTCAAATCCAGATAGAGAGACTGGATGTCTTTCTCCAGTCATCTAACAAAAAAATTCTGGCCTTCTGTCTCACTGGGCCAATCTAAACCAATTCCTGTGACTGGGGAAATGTGTGTATTGATTGGTTTAGAACCAATCCATGTGTCAAAAATGGGACTTGGGGAGAAGGACTATGTTGACTGGCGAAGTCAATCAGGACTCCACTCCAAAGCCACATACACCATGGGAGATGGATGGGGGGCTGACAATTTTAATTGCACTATAACCTCTTCCACATCACTCTCCTGGGACTTAGCCTTCCTTTAAGGCCCAAGTCAAGCTCCAGAGTTCTGATAATGGACCCACTCTCTTTTAACTCCCAGAGTCCCTACTCTCTGCTCAACATATGGTAAGTACGGCCATATATAATTTGTTTATATAGTCATTTGTCTATTCTTCCCAGCTGATTAATAAAGTCTACAAAACACTAGCAAGCTAGCCCTTTTGACCTTCACAACAATCCACTGAGACTCAGAGAGGTTAAGTGACTTGCCCTGTGTCACACAGCCAGAGATGACATTGCCCCCAAAGGCCATTGCAATGAGCTCGCACTCTCTCATTCTCTCTCTCTCTCTCTCTCTCTCTCTCTCTCTCGCTTGCTCGCTTGCTCTCTCACGGGTACACACCCCACAGTCTCTCCTCCAACCACCAACTCAGGCCTGACCCAAAGATGCAGAAACCTACCCCTCCCCCTCCCAGCACCACCTTCTTTTTCCCACTCTGCCTCAATTTCTAGAGCTCTCAGACTTCCTCCAAAGAGTACAGAGAAAGTTTTCCTGCCAGACAGCAGTTTCTAAGATTTGTGTGACAAGGCCAGGTACAATTCAAATGACTCTGGGTGATTTAATCTGCTTGGGGCTGGGGTGGTAAATCAGCGCAGCCCAGGCTGCCACAGCCGCTCCAGAAACCCACGAGCCGAGCTGCTGGTAGGCGGTCATATCTGCAGATCTGCAGGTGACGGTCTGGAAGCGTGAACCTCGGCCTGGGGAGTTCCCCTCCGCTGCACTCGGAATGCATTTGGAGGGTCCTACGGCCCGCAGCCACTCCGGGACTACGCGTTCCACCAGGAAATAGCTTTCCCAAGGATGCAGCCCTGATTCCGCCTCCCCGCTGCCTCCCCTGCCCCACTGCCGGCTGTCAGAGCGCCCCCACCCCCCACCCCGAGTCCACACTGGACTTTTCAGGGAAGGAGACCAGCGTCAGTCAAGCTCCCACTGAAACTGCCGCCTCGCTGCCAGGGCCTCGTGCACCCACACACACCCATTACCTCATTCCATCTGCACAACAACTTAATGAGGGAGGCATGTCTGTCCTCAGTTTACAGGTGACTTAATTGAGGTTCAGAGCGATTAAATAACTCGCCCAGGGTTATTACACAGCTAGCAGGGGGCAGAGCCAAGATTCAAATCCAGATTCATAAGACTCCAAACTCCTCATCCTGTTGGATCCACCCCTCTGCCGAGGCCAGAGGGAGCAAGTAGAGGGCAGCTGTCGCTGGAACCACGTCGTTTGAGAAGAGAGAAGGAGTCGTCCCTGGCTGAAAGGGAGGTGATGCTCTGAGTGAATGGAACAATCGCTTTGCCCCTACAAGAGAGATGTCTAAGGAGAAGGGAGTCACGTTTGTGAGGCTCCTACTGTGTGCCAAGCAGGTGTGCCTACACGGGGGCCGTGCACCAGGTGCTCAACATCCTGCATCCTGCCCGTGAGTCCTTAAGCAGTAGGATGCTGGCAGATATTTACCAACTAGCAGTCTGGAAGAAAGAAAGAGACCTGGCTTGTAGCAGCGGCCAATTCCCATGGTCTAAATATTCCCACCGTGGTTGACTTTGAGCTACTAATGGGACGTCACTGACCACAGAGTTGAGAAGAGATGCCTTCAGTCGGTTCTGGAAGCCAGTAGGAACCCACTCCAGCACACCACTGCCTGTAAGAGAGGCTTGATTAAACCCACTCGACAGATGAGGCTATGCAAAAAGGCACTCAGGGCCGAAATCCATTTCTATGCAACTTTCTAAATTCACATGGCCTGCATAGCCCCATATTCCCTGAACCAGAAGCAACGCAGGGAGCCACGACCACTGGTCTCTACTCTCTGAAGGTGGAAAAGTCCCGCGAGGTCCCGAAGGGCAGAAGAAGACCAAAAATCCGGCAGACTGAAATTCAGCATGAGGAAGAACTTTCTGGGTGCCCCTCTCGACTGACAGCTTCAGGAAGGCAGCAGCCAGCCGTGCCTGGCACACAGTGAATGCTCAATGGCGAATGAATGAAGAAAGGAGTGATCAATTGAATGAAAAAGCCATGACATGCGTGTTCCATTGATTCTTCACACTCACCAAACCCAAAACTGAATTCATCTTCTTCCCCCCAAAATCTACCCCTCCCGCAGTGTTTCCATCTCAGTAAGGACCACGGAGCCAGAAACCTGGGGTACTTCTGCCTCACTCCTCACGTGCAGTCAATCAACAAATCCTATCCCCCCCGCTTCCCGGTTCCTCCTGAATGGATGTTGTCCTCAACATGCCCACTCTGCTCCCACGGCTCAGACCATCACCGTCTCTCCCTGAGTGGACACGCGGTGCCCTAACTGCCCTCCCGGCACTCACCCTGGCCTGTATCGACTCCCAGCCCCCGTCAAACACATCATCAAACCTGCCCACGTGATCTGTCAAAGTGGCCCCTCTGCGCAGGTCCTTCCCACTCCTTCGATGGCTCCCCACTACCCAGAGGATAGAACGGAAGCCCCTTGGTCCTCCACGGTCTGGCCTCACCTCCCTCTCCTGTTTGACCCCTTGCCTCTTGGTCCACCGCATGTTGGTGCAGAATGCATGTAAAACCCCGCCAGACCCCTCGGTGTCCTCTGCATGTCATCCAGGCCTCTGGAGGCCCCTCCCTCTCCCACCTCCCTTCCCTTCACCTCGAAAACTCGTTGCAGACTGAAGTAAGATGATCTAGAAGGTGATTTCTGGGGGCCTCTTAGACTAATATTTCATGATGATTCTAATGCCAAGTCCTTAATTCAAGGCCTTCTGGATTTTACAGTCACCTTCTGTCTTCATGGGACCCTGCAAGGGTCTGTAGGGGCTCTCAAGTTCAATTCCACCATTTTAACGGACAGAAAATCTGAGGCCGAGAGAGGGAAAGGGATTTTCCCAAGACCACACAGCAAGTGAGCAGTGGCAGCTCCAGGACAAGAACCAGGCACCTGCCTCGCAGTCCAAGACTCTTTCTTGGCATCACACTCTCCACCCTGATCCCCTGATTCCAACACAACCATCCTGACAACCCCACCCTGATTCACCTCTTCACACCCAAGCCAGATTAGCACCTTTCCTGCCTTTTCTCAAGGCCATTCTCTCACCTCCATTCAACTTCCAGAGGGCCACCTCCGGGAAACCTATCCTGGTTATCAAGCCAACCCCATCCACACCCCACAACCCTTCCCCCAACCCCCTGTATCTGTCAGAACCCAGCAACTAAGGTTTGGCTCACTCACAGCAATCAGTGTCTTGTGCTCTCTCGCCAGGTAGGACACCCACTCTTCAGGGCTGGCCAACATCTCATCTTTCTCCTCTTCCTCCTTCTGCATCCGCCAGCTGGATATACAACTGCTCAGGGTGACAAAGGATAGCGCAAAAGAGCATGGCATCTGAGGTCAGGCACATGCAAGGTCAGATCCCAGGTCTGTATATCCCCGACTGGTTAACCTTAACCCATGTGAGCCTCCGAGCCCTGCTTCAGGTAAGCTGGAGCCCTGATTCAGGTAAAACACGAACCCAGGGTGAGCCCTGCTTCTCTCTCTCTCTCTCTCTCTCTCTCTCTCTCTCTCTCTCCCCCTCACTCACTTGTGCCCTTTCTCTCTCTCACACTCCCTCTCTCTTCAAAAAAAAAAAAAATACATCTGAGCCTCAACCTTCCTTATCTATAAAATGGGCCCTATCCCCCAGGGTTCCTCGGAGAACTGAATGACATCACCCAGGTTACAGGTCTAGCATTTATTTAGTGGGCTCTTGATAAATGAGAGCTCCCCTCCCCATTTCTTTCTCAGTAAATCCCCAAGACACTTGAGGGGAAAAAAAGCTCTTCTGGGCTGGGAGGTGGGCAGACTCCTGGACATTTTCTCTCGCTCGCATTTCAACAGGCTACGAGCAGCCTGTGTGCAGAAACGTGGGGCGTCTCCAACCCCCTTCCCCACCCCCAACAATCTGCTTTAACCTTCCTGTCTCCAATGCCTTGTTTATTTTAATATCACTCGTTTCGCTTTTCTGTTCGTGCAAAAAAAAAAAAATTTTTTTGTAAAAACAGATTTAAAAGGAAAAGAAGCATTTAATGAGTAAAACTGTCTGCAGCCCTGTTTCTTTCTCAGGAAAAAGTGGCTGTGATCCTGGCATGAGAGAGGAAAGCTGAACAGCTTCCCTTCACTGCAGCTGGCAGGAGCAGTGCGTTTCAGAGTGGAACAGAACCTCCAAATTAAACAGTACGTCTCCCAGCCAGGCGCTTCCTGTGCCGAATTCAGCTTGGCAGGTGACACCCCAGCTCAAGCAGGGATCCAGCCCCGACATGAGCAACTTACAAGGCTCTCTGTTCCTGCCCGCCTCCAGCACAGAAGACCCAACGCTGCCAGGCCCTGGAGAAGCACTGACCTCCGGGATAAGGCTCTGAGAGGAGAAGGACGTAGCTGGAAAGGGAGTGGACCCACCTGGCCAGTGGCCAAGGGGACCAGGACCCCTCCCAGTTCCTCAGCATTCAGGGACCAGCACATTCCTCTGCCCAGAGAGCATAAAGACCAGATCCAGAACTTTCTGTTCAAACAGAAGTTCAGAAAATCTGCTGCTACTTCCCCACCTCCAAAGGTGGCATTTTGGAAGGCTACTCTGGATGGAATCCAAGGGCCAAACTCCAGAAGGGCTCTGCCTACCTCAACCGCCACCCGCCCCCCCGCACCACTAGCCCCCCCCTGCAAAAAAAGATGAAGGACAGAAAATCACACATGACCTTCAAATATGCACAGTAGAGACTGCCCCAGGGCAGAAAGCAGGCTGGGCCAGGACAGTGGTCCCCCTCCCTTGTTCCAAACTCCATACCTTTCTTAATGTAGCCTAGTGACACATACTGAACTCACTGGCCCTTGAACTCCTAAATCCCTTTCTCATTTTTTCCAGTAGTCAAGACAGGCCCCAGCCTTTACTGTCCCTGGGACATTTCATCATGCCAAACCCACCTGACCACTCCAGCCTGTTGAAATCTTTCAGGATCCTGACTTTGCTATCTGAGCTCTGCTCTGTCCTTTTTCTCTGTTCTATCACCTCTTGCTGTTACAGGCCCGCACCCTTTATACCTCCTTTTGGGTCTGTGGCATATATCGGTCAGAACAGGGTAGAAGGCAGAGCCCCACGGCTACCTCTAAAGACCCACGCAGACTGACCTGGTTCCGACTCTATGAACATTCTGTGGCGGTCTTTCAGCCAGACGGGAGCCCCCTCGATGCCCTCCCAGCCAGCCATCATGTCCTAGAGAGCATGACAGACCCTATCCAGTGTTTTAGGAGGCAGCGCGATATGACACGAAGGGCCAGACAGATTCAGGCTTGAATCCCAGCGCCCTCAGTCTTGGGAATGCCATTCAACTTCCCGGAGCCTCAATCTCCCATCTGTAAAATGGATACTGTCACATCCAGAGCACAACTTGTGAAGATTAAGATCATATATGTGAAGTATCCAGCTCGCGACAGGCACCCAATAAATAACAGATTCCCCCAATCGCTAAGCTGTCCGGAATCTGAAAGATTTGCCTGGTCTTGCTGAGCCCATGTTGGCTCCGGGGATGACTACCTTCTTTTCTTTTCTTTTTTGAAATGCTTGTTTTTATTTATTTTGAGAGAGGGAGAGAGCACAAGCAGGGGAGGGGCAGAGAGAAAGGGACAGAGAGAGAATCCCAAGCAGGCTCCAAACTGAGTTCGCGGGGCTCGAACTCACGGACCGTGAGATCATGACCTGAGCCAAAATTAAGAGTCGGGCGCTTAACCGACTGAGCCACCAGCTGCCCCTTCTTTTCTAATCACAGACGTCACCATCCATACGAGGCCCTCGTATTAATCTGAGATCAGCCAAAGCCCTGGGTCTTTTTTTTTTTTCAACGTTTTTTTATTTATTTTTGGGACAGAGAGAGACAGAGCATGAACGGGGGAGGGGCAGAGAGAGAGGGAGACACAGAATCGGAAACAGGCTCCAGGCTCTGAGCCATCAGCCCAGAGCCCGACGCGGGGCTCGAACTCACGGACCGCGAGATCGTGACCTGGTTGAAGTCGGATGCTTAACCGACTGCGCCACCCAGGCGCCCCATCCCTGGGTCTTTTTGAGGTGAACTCCTGTCAAAGCAGTCTTCCCTTCCTGGATCTGTGCGGTCGTTTAAATAAAATAGAAACGGTCATAATGACAGCTTAATCCTTCCAGTCCCACTATGAAAAAAAAGTAGCGGGGCGCCTGCACAGCTCAGTCAGTTGAGGGTCCAACTCTTGATTTCAGCTCAGGTCATGATCCCACGGTCGTGAGATTGAGCCCCACACTGGGCTCCATGCTGAGTGTGGACCCTGCTCGTGATTCTCTCTCTGTTTCTCTCTCTGCCCCTCTGCCCCACTCCCACTCTCACACTAAAAGAAAGAAAGAAAGAAAGAAAGAAAGAAAGAAAGAAAGAAAGAAA